TGATAAATTGATTTGAACATAATATTAATATATTCAATATCATAGTTAGCCTTTTGTACACATTCAGTACTACCATTTTGTTATGTCAATATTTTTATTTAATTTAAGGTTGAGTATTTGCTTCTCAAGTTGTTGTTAATAATGTACACTTTTTCAGTTTTTTTTTAGCTATAGTTACTTGATATTTTAATATTTTTTATCATGAAAAAGGAATTTAGTCAAAGTGCATATTGAGATCATCTTCAAGTCATCGATTGTATTGTGATATATAATACACACAGTGGCGGGTATTTTTTGTAACCCAAGGTAGGTCTGGTGGTATGTAGCAGATCCATTCAGTAGAGTTAAATTTGGTCCAAGAATCCTGCCAAATACTTTTCAAGTACTGATCTTTAAAAAAACATCTTTAAAAAATCTATATTTGATCTTGACTTTCGTGAAACTATTAATAGATCAATTTAAGACATGCATAAAGGGATGTTGCAGATATGTACGCACTGACCACAGCTGTCTTTACGTGTTTTACACAAAAAATGCCATATATAATTGAAATAACAGCCAAATCTGAAAGTAGCTGTTTTACGAACAGAATGTCTTCTTCCCCACCTCCTCCGCAGGAGTCCGGACGGTAGCAACGAAATACACTTAAATGCTCTAGTACCACAATGAAAAAACCACTGAGTCTGTTTTCATCCTGCCACTCTTGGTGAGCTTTAAGTCTAGAGAAAAACATGTTTTGTGACCAAAGAATAAACTTTTTATGCTTTCTGGTCATAATACACCAATATTTTCAAAAAATATCAGTAAGATCAACGTTAATTTAGAATAAGAAAACAGTCTGACCTGTAACAATATCTGAAATATGAATTATATAGTTAAAACTTTTACCAGAGATACAAGAATTGAGTATTTTTTTACTCGTGAACTGTGCTAACGATTCTGCAATGATGGTCAGTCTTTAGTTGACAGGTATGTTCTTATAGATTGGTAGAAATGGAAGATTCATATTCCACCAACCAAAAAATTTGAAAATTTTATGGAAAATTGTATTTTACCACAAACAAATAAAATATATGTATGTTAATCTCAATATGTATCTTGCAAAACTAATGACTTCGTAATAATTATTGTTCCAGTAAAATTGAAACATTTATATTTTATTTTACCTTTGTTATTTTTATTTTTATGATGTATTGTTTTATTCATTTTGCAGTTCGTTTGTGAATGCTGCATGTGAGGCATGATCATGAATTCAGCAAAGCGTAGGGGATGAGTATTACATCAGGTACTGGTAGAGTTGTGAAACTACCTGTTCCTGGGTAACACTTGTTTCCTGGCTTTTAATGCAACCTGAAAACCGTATGTTTTGTTTTATTTTTTTTATTATATTAATAATATTTACACCGTTATTTTTATTTAGATATTTATATTATTTTCATATTGACCAATTTATTTCACGTGAAAAATGTTCACTGAAAAATGGGTAATCTTGGTTTGAAAAAGTGTCAAGAAACGCAGCTGCTTGATCAAGTAGTATCAACTCAGTATTTTGGCATTTTATCTCTTCTCTTTTTTAAGTAAGGTTGGCCATCATTAACGCAAATTTTTTTTGCCTTGTACACGGTTTTTAACAATGAATATGTGCCCAGGCCAATCTCTTATATTTTTTAGCTAGGTGTCATTTTTTTTCCGGCCTGTACTTTCCTATTCCCATATTTTTCTTTCGCTTGTGACACACTTTTACCTGTTTTCTGTTTTGTTGTTTCGACTGCATACAGTACAGAAAAAATATGAGATTAGGAACTAAAATCGAAAATCCAATAGTAAGGGTTGTGAGTTTTTTATTCTTCGAACAGTTGAGCGACATTTTCTATTCGCCTTCATATTTCTACCACATGGTCAGGATACGTCATTATCTAGTAGCCAATTTACTGAAAGTTGATTACGAATCTATTAGCTTGTGTAGAAATGTGTCATTCTGGTGATTTAGTTTGCGTGCAACAACCATTACTTTTGTTTTCTGTGAATTTATTTATAGTTTCTGTTTGTTCTCTTCTTTTGCCAGAGCGTTCATTACATTTTGCAAGTATTCAATGCTTTGTAACGTTGTATCTTCTTGGGCTTTTGCTGTTGTACCTCTTTTTGGTGGGACTACCCAATTGATACCACGTTTGGTGTTCACCACAAATGCTTATTAAAAAGAAATAGCAAGAATGACACGAATATCCTTGTCATCTATTTTTTGCCGATATTTTTCAGTATTTGCATTCATTTTACATGCTGTACTTTATCGAATGTCTTTTAGAAGTTCACGAAACATGCAAATACATATTTTCTTTGGTCACGGCATTTTTGTAATGTCATGTCTTTAGAGAAAGCAAATAATAAATTCCGAAACTAACATTCTTGGCTAAGGAACATAAAGGATAGCAACCACAGCTAAAAATAGTTTGAAGGGTACATACAACTTCTAACGTGGTACTCGTTCTATAACCTGGTTTTTGGCATTTAGTAGTGTGTTTAATGTTCGACTTTGCTGATCTCTCTCTTCAATCCTGACCCCCCAGGGGGAGTGTAGTGGTCGACGTGATGTCGTGTATTGTCCGTCTCCAGAGATCTCTGTCTCTGGTCATTTCTTTTAATTCATGCATAGGTCTTTGGCATATTCCTGTAATTTGATCTATCCATCTTGTTGGGTATCTTCCTCGTGATCTTCGGTCTTCTACCTTTCCTTGTATTACGAGTCTTTCCATGTTTTCTGTGTTTGCTCTCATAACATGCCCAAAATATTTTAATTGTTGGAGATGGACTTTACTAGAGAGTCGTTGGCTAACGTTTAGCTCTCTTAAAATTGAATTATTTGTTCTACGGTCGGTCCAAGGAATTCGTAACATTCGTCTCCAACAGAACATTTCAGTGGCGTCTATATTTCTTCTCTCCGATTGTCTCAGAGTCCAAGATTCACATCCGTAGATCAGTATTGGGAATATTAAGCAGTTGATCAACCTCATCTTTATCGCTCTTGAAATTTGACAATCCTTCCATATTTTGGTCATTTTTGCTGTGGCAACTTTGCTAGATCACATCTACGTTTAATCTCTTCTTGTAATGACCCTGTGTTTGTGATTAATGATCCCAGATATAAGTATGAGCTCACAACCTCGAACCGGTCAATTGTGGTTATGTGTGGATGATTGTTGTGTAGTCTATCCACTATCATGATCTTTGTCTTTGATATGTTTAATTGCAGACCAAATATTTGACTTTCGTTTTCGATCAGTCGTATAAGTTCTATTAGCTCTGCTTGACTATTTGCAAGAAGGGCTGTGTCATCTGCGAAACGTAGGTTGTTTAGTTTATGACCATTTATTGAGATCCTTTTCCCATCCTTCAAGTGCTCTTCGCATAATATACTCCCCATATATGTTGAATAATTGTGGAGATAGTATACATCCTTGTCTAACACCCCGTTTTGGACGAAATTCGTTCGAAAGTGTGTCAAGTACTTTAACTGATCCAGTAGTGTGTTCATATAGTTCGGTTATAAGCGTAATTAGATGTTGTGGTACGCCTACTTCTTTTAGTATTCGCCATAAATGTCTCCACTTGACCCTGTTGAACGCTTTACGGTAATCTATAAAACAGATGTATAGTGGGATGTTGAATTCCCTAGATTTCTCGATTATCTGTCTTATATTCAGCAGGTGTTCTCAAGTGCCTCTACCTTTGGTAAATCCAGTTTGCTCTTGTGGAATTTCTCTTTGAAGGAATGTTTTCAGTCTCTCATTGATTATATGTAGCATTATCTTGTTGGCATGGGATATATGAGAGATAGTTCTATAATTGTCGCATTTATGGAAGCTGCCTTTTTTATGTATGGTCGTTATTGTAGATTTTGTCCAGTCTTCAGGCCATTGTTTGGAATGCCATATTTGGTTACAGAGTAGATGAAGTAACTTTACGCCGGTTTCTTCTGTGGCTTTAAGCATTTCTGCTGTTATCATATCTGGACCTGGTGCTTTGTTATATTTGAGCTTGTTGATAGCCTGTCTTACTTAATTTTCGAGTATATCAGGTTCTTCTTCCACCTCGTCAGAGATTTGGCTAACAAGCTCTTGGCGTTGATCATCTTTATATAGGTCCCTGCAATACGATCTCCATGTCTCTGCTATGTCTTCTCTGTTTGTTCTCAGGGTTCCAGTGTTATCTTCAAGGGCCCAAGTTCATTTTATTTCTTTATTGAGGTTTCTTAAACTAGCTTTTTCCCTTTCACTATGTACACCACTTTTACAAAGATTTCTTCTATTCTCAATTATTTTAAGAGTTTCATCTGTTATCCAGTGTTTCCGTTTCACCGGATTATTTTTCTTTGAGCGATCCACTGGTGTTGTTACGCAATGTTTTGCTTATAATCTTATCATATACTTAAACTTTTTCTAAAACTCATTGCTCAGTAGTCATTGTATACTGTCTCATATTAATATCGTCCCTAATAAGATCTGGTTCAACTATATATTGAACATTAACGGTGATAGAACACACCCCCTGATGAATTCCTTGTTGTGTCATTACTGATTTCACGTGTGTTATGTTGTTTTCATTTACTCTATAGTTTCTTTGGATATGCACCATCTTGTCGTATTTACACATGTTAAAAAATTTTGAGACCAATACTATAAAGACCTTTATCCTCGTCTTTTCTAAAGAGCGAAGTAGTACTCAGGTATTGCAGGCCACATTAGTGATGTATCTTGATGTTTATAATGATTCTTATCATATTTTATGACTTATATTTTGATGACTTTCTTGAGTATCACATTTTCGTATGGGTTTAGAACTGTATTCTTCGTTATTCATGACACAGTTTTTTTTATTTCTTTTAATTTCTGCAATAGTTGCCTTATCCACTGCTATAAACTTAATATTTGCATATTTTTCTTCAATGTTTAATGTTTATTGAAAACTCCAGACTAATACATTTTTATGTTTTTCTGTTTCAGTATCACAACTACAAACAAAGCTTTCGAAAAAAGAAGAAGAACTCAGTAATGCCTTGAGTAGTACAGACGGTAAAGTAGACAAGCTTCTGATAAAGAACCTCATTCTTGGCTTTGTCACCACAAACAATAATCTAAATAGAGACCAAACTCAAATTCTGAAAATCATCGCCACGGTATTAGACTTCAACCAACAAGATCACGATAAAGTCAAGCTAAACAAGCCGCAACAAGGGTGGCTTTCGTCTCTGTTGGCGCCAAATCCAGATCAAAACAAAATGACCGAAGAGTCTTTGTCAAGAGCTTTTATTCAGTTTTTAGAAAACGAATCAAAGCCGCGGGTGGTGCCTAGTTTGCTTGACACTACCACACCTACACAATCTAATTCTTCGACAAAAACGACCAACAGCAGATCCACCACTCCTAAGCAAACGCCCATCGTGCTCAGTGAAATAGTGCTGCCGACTTTCTCCGATTTTGCTCAAAATAGAAATTCTAGCTCCATACTCAAAGATGTGCTGAAAGATAACAGCTGAAGGTGAAGAAAGTATTTGTTAAAGGTGCATTATTTTATTTGTTTTGTAAAAAACGATATTTATACAAAAGATGTATTATATATTCGAAGTTAATGTATTTTTTAACGCTTTTTATTTGTATATAGATTTTAAAATAAATTTAAATAAATATGTTATAGACTGTTATTTGCTTTATGTTTTATTTTTAAATTAAGGATTTAGAGAATAATTTGCTTTACCAACAAATTTAATAGTATTTAATCAAACACATTTTTACATATACTTCATCTAATTTATATAACGACTTACGTCATTATCTACGTCAGAGATCGAAGTTGACATAGTTGCCAAAGTAAAAAAAAAATCCTGACTCCATTTTAAATCAAATAGATTACATAATTATTGCAAAAGTATTACCATCTCTTTACAACGACTATTTAAATTCTTACGTGACATTTTTGAAATAAAACACACTAATTTTGTTCTAAAAAGAACAGATTTTATTAGATAGTTAAAAATATAAAACAAGAGATATTCACTTTAAAATTCAAAATAATGAAGTACAAAAAGTGTCAACACCGCAACTGTCAAATAAGTGTTACCAATTTATGCCAAAATTTTACCTTCGTTCGATTATAGTTACAGTGTGTTCCGAACAAATGTTCTTGATAAAAACGCTTTATAATGCATTTATACAAATTAAATGAAACATATTATTGTGTATTTCTTCAAGTTAACATTAATAGAAATTTTTAAATATGATTTCTACGCGTATATAATAAAATATGTCTAGTGGCTGTAATGTCAGTGTACTCAGTAAAGTGGTTCTAAAAAAGAACACACCTACACCCTAAATATTTTGTGTTGGTATCATGTGACGCCACAGGCTATGACGCCGATGACGTGCATCGTTATATAAATTAGATGAAGTGTACCAATCCCACAATGCAATTTTTGATAATCCAATAAGCTACAATGAACTACAGTTTTCACTAAAAAAATCGAATAATTCAGTTCCTGGTTTAGATCAAATCACATATGACATGATCTGGAACTTACCTCGCAGATTAAAATTATTTCTACTTAAAATATTCAATGAAGTATGGTTACAAAATAGCAACATAGAGAAATAAAAAACATTTTTTAAACATTTGAGCGAATTTTAAACACAGGCTTGAATTTCGCGTTTATTCCAATTCTTTTCTACCAGTGCAATAATTCGGTTTTAAAAAAGGTTTCGACACCATAGATGCAATATCGAACTTAGTTTTAGATAATCAACTGTACATTAAAGGAGCTTACGACTATAGATATACTGATATTAAGAGAAAAATTAGTTAAGATAGATATTCCACCCGCAATTTGCAATGTAATAAGACAACTATTAATGCATAGATAAGTATGACAAGCCACACATGAGTTCCAAAGAGTTAATGCTCTGCTCGGTTAAAGTAATAGTACAAAAAGTCACTACAAATTTATTTCAGCCCTTCGCAGATTGATGGCGCGATAAACCTATGGTAACACTTTTGCATAGGATAGGTCTAGATAGATGATAGGTCTTAGTATCTACTTGACATAATCATTGATTATAAACCACTACCTAGATACCTCACTCTAAGGTAAAAACGAATTCAGTGTTAAACTCCGCCCACTTACACCTCTTTGTCCCTCACGCCTAAGTACTACCTCACTGTATGGTGGCGACATTCATTGAAATCTTTGCCAATATTGAAAAATAAATTTCAGTTCCCTGGTCCGGCAATTCTCTAGTGCATTAGAGGACGATATAAGGATTACATTCAGCATTTTCACAAGTAATTTTAACATGCTTGTAATCTATATTACGAAATTAAGATTTTACTTCAGAAAAAACGCTAAAAATTTATTAATGAAAACAGTAAAGGTTTTCTAAAAATTATTTATTTATCAACACAATACAAAAAAATAACAAAATATAAAATACATAATAAAATTAGCAGTGATAAATTACATCTTATGTAATAGTATATTACATAACGAGAGTTGTAAGAAGCTTATTACATGCGAGTAAAAAAGTTGCGCGCGAGCCGCATAGCGGCGAGCGCAGTAATTTTACAAGCATGTAATAAGCTTACAACTCAAGTTGTGTACTATACTTTTTCTACCATTATTTTCGTTTATAAAAATAAAAATTAAATTACCACTATATTTACACTGACAGATTAATAATTTTTAATCTGTCAAAATAACGTCTGTTAATTCGTTTCCATGGTAACTCGACCAACTGACTTACAAGGCTTATGTGATATTACACATTTTTGTAAAACTGAAGCGTAATTTTTTTTATTACGTGCTAGTCATTACGTGTCAGTATCTGTTATGATGCATTTACTTAGCATCCAAATAGTAGGTAATATACAATTTACTAGTAAGAGAGTAGAAAAATTACTTTTTTGTAACTTTTCAAACAAATTAATTTCCAGAATTGATGCAAACTAAAATATTTCAAGCTAATATACAGAATTTATTTCCAGATTTAGTCTATTCACTCACGGTAAAATATTGCAAAACCTCATAAGTTTAAAGAATCGCTAGGATTGACATGAAATTTGGCTTACGCCTAGCTAAGATGTCAAAGGAAAAAAGATTATGCTTTTGCCCTATCAGTATCATCCCTTATCGGGTGTGAAAAAATATAAGTTCAAGATAAGTTCGGAAGTGCCTAAAATCAGTAATTCTAAGCAACTTTGGTTTTATAGAGGTTTTTCACTATGTCAATACTTTTCGAGTTATTGAAAAATTATTGAAAATTGAATTATTGAAAAAATTCAACGTGAAATAATAAAAAACTGAAGAACTTTTCGACGAAAACTCATTACAACTTTTTTTAAAGTGTTTTAAAAAGGTTTATTTTTGTAAAGACATATTACATGTTATGATTTTTTTGTGACGGATATTCTTGAGTTGGGGTAGATTTCATGTAATCGAATTAACTATCTTTCAACAATGTCGTCCCAGGAACGCAACTTGTAAATATTGGCAATGTCATTGCCAATATTTCATTATCTACTTTAAAATGTATAATATATGTCTGAATTGCCGATATAAATGAGTCAGATTAAATAAATTATTATAAGAATTTTTTTTACTAAGCAGCATCATTTTTGTTTAATTCATATATCATCAATAATAATTTTTGTATTTTGCCAACGACACCCGATTTGGGCGTCGAAACGTTAATAAAATCATTTTTTAGTAAAATTGTGGCTTATTTCCCATCAAAACTAGTTAATTGCAATAATGCCACAAGAAAATAGCTTTAGAACAAAATCGAGATCTTCCTCTGGAGCAGAGGATAAGCGCATTAAGATGATACGTGTTCTCGACTTTGATACATGGAATGGACAGATATACTCTAAAAGTAGACAATATACAGAAATTGGAAGGATTTGAGATGTGGAGCTATAGAGGAATTTTGAAAATACCTGGATCTAACGAGTTACAAATGCAAAAGTGTTGAGGTTACAATGTTACAAAAGGATAGCAAGGTGATAAAGAATATCAACACAAGAAAGCTGGAATATTTAGGTCACATTACCGAAGGTGCGAAAAGCTTAAAATGCAATGTAAAATTAAGGGTAAAAGATTCAATAGGTAGAAAAAGAATTTCATGACTGAGAAACTTAAGAGAGTGGTATAGTTGCAGCTCAATAGATCTTTTCAGAGCAGCCGCCAATAAAGTACGCCACCCTTCGATAGGAGAAGGAACTTCAACAAGAATAGGATATAAATTTTGTTCTAATAGTAACATTGTACTACAAAAAATTGACAATTTATCTAGAAATGGCAATATAGAAGTCAATTATATTCTGTGCAAAATAAGAAATTGTATAGAGGTGAACTAAAATCACTATGATCTACTGTTCGATCGCATACAGAGAGATCGCATAAAGCAAGTAGTGGTGAGTACCAAATGCAATCGATTTTGACTTTAACAAAATACCACAAATTACCAACGTTAAAAATGAATAAAGTAAGTACATATCTTGATAAAATGACAGGGAATTTCCAATACATAAATAGATGAGGGCCATCTGCCTAGGAACAATAGGTAAAAGCTGATAAACGGACAGGATTAGAAAGTTTAAAACATCACTAATTAGATCATATTTCAAAACAAAGTAAATAAGTATATTTGAATGTTAATTATTTTCAAACTAAGATTGTAAAATTAAAATTTAAAAAAAAAATTATTATTTCTTGTTCTCAAGAAGTACTTTCATTATTGACAATATCGAAACATTTTATTATTAAAAGTCGAGAAGAATTTTCTGAGGAAACGTTCATATTTATATAAAAGTGCTATAAAAATGTGCCACTGCAAATTGATGCTAGCAAATTACCCTCTGTTTTAGGTCACTGATATCCATCAATATAATATCAATATTCCCGCAGTTTTTTTGCCAAATTTTTGTGCGCTCTACGTCTTTCAGGGGAAATTTAAAGAAAGATATATTATTATTTGTTCCATCGTTTCTTTTAAAACATCCCGCGTAAACACATTTATGCGTTACACAGGCCATTTTATCTAAAATGTGTCCTTTTTTTTATAAAATTTCGCTATAACTTGTCACAACACTTCACACAGATAATACACTTATAGGGTAAGTTCGGCCCTGACACCACTCCTATCTCTTCGCAAGTCAGAGAGAGAATGAGAATCTCGATACGGTTTTCGAGTAACGCCATCTAGTTTTTCATACGTCTTTCGGTTACCACGAGGTGAGCTATCTAGGTAGTAGTTTATAATCAATGACATAATGATAAGCCACATTAAAATAGCGGACATGGGCGGAAGCGATTTGGATATTTCTGAGTTTTGACGATTAAAGAAAGAAAAATACTGAAGTTGAGTCGACTGTTGATGACAGTGACCGTGATCCTGACTAAGTACAATCTAGAAGTGACTTAAGTTGTGAAAATACAGTGGTATGTAATTTTTTTGTTAAATGTGGCCTGTCACAGTATTACCATTCAAGATTAAGTATGATCGTAGTGGCTTGTTATATTATTGCATTTTATTGTATGATAATGAACAAAGTCCGTCAAGAGAAAGGACAAAACCAAACACACCCGACAAAACTCCAACAAGTCGATGGAGAAAAAGAAATGAACACTGTTATTTAAGATCAAAAAGAAAAATT